CCTTTGGGAGAACAATATACGAATTTGTATCTTGTAAAACTTCCAGAGACTTCTGAAATCAAGTACCCGCAAAGGCATTCTATTAATAAGGTAACTGCTGAGAGAAATGCATCTGCTCAATAACTCTTAGGTAGATTCATGGCGAAGATCAGTGACCTAACTACCTACAGTATGTGTTTATTTTTCTTTCAGCAACCTCATTCTGTTCACTGGTGTAGACACAATTTGTCTGGTGAATTATCCCATTAGACTCCAAATAAGTACGGAACCCACTATCCATATATTTTTGTACTATTATCAGTTCTCATGACCTTAACTTTGGCATTAAATTGTGTACATATCATTTTATGAAATAATTGAAAACATGAAAACACATTATTTTTTGCTTCCAACAGGTAAATCTATGTTAATCGAGTACAACAGTCAATAAAAAAAATAAAGCATTGATGACCAAATAGAGAGGTATTCTGAGTCGGTCTCCACACATCAGAGTGAATAGTCATAAAAAGAATAGAACTTCTGCTATTACTCAAATGATAAGAACTTCTTTTATGTTTAGCAAATTCACATGCATCACAACATAAAGCATCCAAAGAAATTTTCCTAAATAAAGTAGGATAAAGTTTTTCTAAAGCCAAAAAGAAAGGGTGGGCCAATCGCAGGTGCCATTGTAGTATTTCAAGATTGTCTTCCTTATTCTCAATAGTAGCTTGATTCGCAATTAGATTCTGACTTCTTTTCAAGACATATAAGTTATCCTACAATCTACCAGTGTCAATCATCTTCCCCGTTCGAAGATCCTGAAAGATACAATAATCAAGAAAAAATTTAATTTTACAGTTTACATCTCAAGTATGGCACTAATAGATAAAAGACTATTAGAAAAATTAGCCACATGTAAAACTGAAGATAGTGTAATAGTTAAGCTACAATTAATGGAATTTGTTCCAAACACAGGAGTGTATGACCCATCTGCTATACGAACATTCTCTCCTTTAGCATAAGAAAAATAAGTTAGAAATTCAGTGGAAGAGCTTGTCATGTGTCTGTTACCTCTAAAATCTATTATCTAAACATCAGGAGTGGAAATAAGAGAGAGAGAAAGAATATATGATTTTACCATATTTGATGCACCTATAGTCGTTGAAGAGTTGAGTTGAAACAGAATATGCTTCAAGCTTTGAATATCTTCAGTTGAAAAAGTTCCAACTGTTGGTGTGTCAGCTGTTTCACTTGCCTTAACCAAGTTTGTTTGAGCTCTCATAGGTCTATCTTTCCTTCCCCTACGACTGTTGGTGGGTCGTCCATGCAATTTCCAACAAGTCTCCTTAGTATGTCTCAGTTTGCCATAATAATCACAATTCTGTTGGTTTTTGGAGTGATCAGACTGAGCAATTAACCTGGTTTTTTCAACTGGTGTCATATGGAGTATGACAATTCTCCTACTCTTTTCTTGTTGAATATAAGAATAAGTTTATTCTAATGAGCAAATGAGATCCTTACCAAGTACCTGAACCGGTATCTGATCATATTCGACATTTAGACCAGCCAAGAAATCATAAATCTGCTCATTTTCTATTATTTTCTGAAATTTGACAGCATCCCTGGGACAATCTGCCTGAAAATCTTGATGGTAATCGAATTCCTACCATAGTCCACTAAGTTCAGAAAAATACTGAGAGATAGTCAACTCTCCTTATTTTGTGCTGTGGATCTTATTTCGGAATTCATAAATTTGAGCATTATTACCCATTTGTGAATGTGTAAGAGATGTTGCATTCCATATTTTTGCTGCAATATCGAGTAACATGTATGTTTGGGTAATGTGAGGTTGCATGGAATTGATGAATCAAGATATTACCAAGGAGTTCTCGAAGTCCCATCTATGATATTCCAAACTACTGACATCTGATTTCTTCTCATCACTGGTAATATAACTTTGCAATTTTCTGGCTTTGATAAATAGTAAATAAGATCTTGAACAAGTAAGGTAATTAGTTTCATCAAGCTTTATAGGACTTATTTGCAATTATGGGTTGTCAAAATTAGGGACAATTAGTTTCTTTGCTTCTGTCATGTTTAAGTACTAGAAACACGAGAATAATACTGAATATCGAATATCACAGAGAGAGAACAAACCTCCTAAACACCACCAAAGCCTAAAATTGCTGCAAGACTAGAGAAGATTACTGGAAACAAGTACTGAAGTGGCTGCTGGGACGGAGTAGCAGATGGCAACAAGAAATCCAGAGAGAAACAGAGGCTGAATTAGAAGCTTGAAGCTGGAAGAACAAAGGTGTCATTGCTGGAAACTCAGGGCAAAGCAGTAGTCATGCGTGAACCAAAAAGTTCAGGATGTGCGTGATGGAACCGGACACCGTGCGCGAAAGATTTGGAGGAGCAACGTGAACCAGAGTGCCGGGTTTGTGCGACTAAGCCAAGAAATCGTGTCGGGTGTGCGCGACAGAACCAAAGATGTTGGATGTGTGCGACGGAACAAAAAAACGCGCCGGGTGTGTGCAACGGAACCAGACACCATGCACAAAGAGACCAGAGGGGCAGCGCGAACCAGAGGAGCCGGGTGTGTGCAATCGGACCAGAGGGTCGAGTCGGGTTGCGTGAACCAGAGCGGGGAGCAGCGGAAGCCAAAGGCTGTGCGCGAGGACACAACACGAACAACCTGGTGCGATTAGAGCAGATTTGAAAAAACCCTAAAATTTGAAAATTCCTAAAATACCCTTATTTTGGTATGATATCAGGTAGAATTTTGGGGGGAAAATATTTTACTTTATTTCCTTGATGTGTTTTGTATAACAGACAACTCCTATATATATACAAAATTTTCAAGTACTAATAGAGAAATTACCCTTATAATAGGAATACTAAATAATTACAATATTGTAAAAGAAATTAATAGTAAGAACCATATAGAAAAAATATCATAATTATTTAGAAAACAAAATATTCATGTTAACAAACTTCTTACTCAAGAGTTTGAAATAAAAAATTTAGAAAAACTACAGTACTTTTTGAGAATTGAAGTTGTCAGATCTAATAAAGCAATATTCATTTCTCAAAGAAAATATATGCAAAACTTATTCGAAAAGATTGGTATGATGGATTGCAAGTCGGCAAAATTTCCTATTGAAAGCAATCACTAACTACAAGCGGGAATTGGTACATCAGTAAATTTGGGGAGATATCAGAAATCGGTTAAAAGATTCGTTTGTCTCGGATCTGATATAACAATGCAGTTAGTCTGGTGAGTCATTACATGCATGATCATCACGAGTCTCATTTACATGTCATTTTTCGCATAATGTGATATTTAAAATTTGCAACAGGAAATGGTCTGCTCTTCTCCAAAAATAGTCGCTGGAAGATAGAAGTATTTACAGATACTGATTGGTTTGGACCTTCATATGATAGGAGATCAACTATTTATTACACACTCGTAGAAGGCAATCTGGTTACTTAGAAAAGTAAGAAGTAAAATGTAATTACTTGTTCCAGTGTTGAAGTAGAACATAGAGCAATGATCCAAAAAGCATGTGAATTATTATGGTTGCAAAAGTTAATGAAAGAATTAAAACTATTCAAAAAAAAGACATTATCCTTGTTTTGCGACAGTAGAGCAGCTATAAACGTATAATCAATTTAACATAATCAGACAAAACACATTGACATTGATTGATATTTCATAAAAGAGAAAGTGGTTGATGACTCTTTATGTTTATATCATGTACTTTTTAGTGAACAGGTGGCAAATGTCTTCACTAATGGATTTTACAACAAATCTTTTCATAATTTAGTTTGCAAGTTAGACATGTGTGATATATTTACACCAACTTAAAGGAGAGTGTTGACTAGAATATTCTGTTGCTCCATTAATTGAGATATTTTTCATTTATAATCTTTCCCGTGATCTTTCCTATAATGATGTAATTAATTAGTAGAATCAATTAGAATCCTTATAATAATGTAAATTATTTTATTTGTAAATAGGAATCTGTATATATAACCTAGTTGTAATATTACAAAAACATGAGAAAATAAAATAGAGATTTTTTCTCTTTAAAAATTTACACAAGCAAATTGCCAAAACTTTAGCCAATAAATATAGTTATTAGATCTAAATTCTCATTTCGCAAACCTCCTGAACTTTTGGATTTGCAGCAAACATCTCAACTATGAATGTCACAGTACTTGGCATATACAAAGCATCTTAGTCTCCATGTTGCTATTCGACGACATCTATTATTTTTTAAGCACGTAAAAATTATCCTTAAACACTGCTATGACATGGGACCAAATTTCAAACTCCAAAGCTCATGTAAGCAGTACAATTTACAACAAAAAATACCACAAAATAGCATCAACTGCGAACACTGTGAAGGCACATCCCACGGAAGCTTATAGAACACCTCCAGCCGACCAAAGTGAGACCTAAATCGATCTTAAGAAAAGAGAGGACATGACATGGGAGATTCAGGACCCAGTGACGGGCATTGTCTAAAACGTCAGATCATACCATTCCAGAGGATAGTAATGTTGTTTCTGGGGTGGACTTGCTTAAAAGAGCTTTGTACATATGCAAACTTGCTTTTCTCCCTCTCTAGGTTTTGGCAGCAAATGTTTCTTCTTCTTTGTCTTTTAAACTAACATTGCTTCTGATACATGTTTTGTACAATATCATAATTTTTATCATGTGCCAAAGAAAATAGACATATTTATGGGGTCCCAACAAAAGAGAATTACGAGTAGGAAAATTAACAATGTAAAAGTACCTATACTAGAAAATAACTATATAGAAACGATATACTATATTTTAAGACCAAGAAGACATTGGCTTGCAAAATTGCATTGATGGTTATATTTTCTTGCACCTTGTACCTCCTCTCTGTCTAATATATTTTCTTTTTCATGATATGTATTTATTATCGGATCTATGTTTGATAATGTTCATATGCATTTTGTTTGATATTTTATCTCTTTCAGGCTGCAGTCTTTACATCATACGCTCTGAAGAATGATTCCAATTTTCCCTTATTCTTCTTCACTCGTAATTCAAAGCTTCTTTCTAGGTAGTTGCACTAGCTGACCTAGGTCAATAAGTTGTTTAAGCACTGATCAGCTTCATTCATTATGTAGTTGAACTAGTTGATTGCATTAAACACTTGCAGGGATAAAATAAACAAATTTGGTCCAAGCATTCCTCCTGATTTAGGATTAATTTTGCCCCCAAAATCAACAAGATCTTGGTTTTTAAGGTATGGTGATTGCTATAGTTTCTCCTTTCTCTGTGAATTTTAGATCTCACTGTCTTATTATGGATATCTATACCCTCTGCCAGATCGCATAAGGTGTATGTCAAGTTGTTTGAAGATTTTGCATCTGAGGCACTACTGGACCTGGACACCTTATCAGGTCTTACAGAGATTAGTTTGGAATTGGAAAAAGGATCTGGAGTCAAATTTATTGCTAAGTTTGGGCTGTCTGTGGGACCATCTCTAGGTCTAGTCACTGTTCCTTCACAAACCATAACTATGGTTCCAAGATATATTGTACTTAACGAGGCTGATGAAACTATAATTGTTCGTCAATGTCATTTGGAGGTATGGTCTCTATCCATCTCAGAGACTGTTTCACCCATAAATTTTGGAAATATTTTTCCAGGTTTTATCATTCTTTTGGTTCTTTCCCTTGGAGAAGGAAGAAAGTGCAGGTGCCATTTCCATCAACAGTAGAGAGGGAGCAACGCTGCAGCTGCAGGATGGAGTGAGCAAGAGGAGAGAATTAAGTTTATTTGAGAACTTCATTAAAAAGCACGGGAACAACGGGGAAAATTCTTTAATATTCATTCAGTTTCGGCTGAATGATCCTAAATTGACATGGTCTGGCCCATTGTGCATTACTTCACTTGGATGCTTTTTCCTTACATTTAGAGAACAATCAAATGAGGTGATGGCCAACAACCGAACAGAATTGGCATCTGTCATTGTGGCAGAAGAAGGTTTTACTCTTGCTGTGCACTTTCAGAAACCACCTAGTACGAATCTACCATACAGGATTGAGAATTATTTGCATGGTGCATCCCTCACTATCAAAAGGTTTTGGGTTTCTCCACTCTCCTTACTTATTAACCATCACTTCAGTGGCTGCTTGAAATTATTGTTTATCTATCAATCAATTGTGCCTAACTGTCAGTTTAATGGTTCTATAGGATTCATTATTTCCAGAAGTTCTTGGACCTGAATACAGTGCAGCTTATGCATGCGATGATCTGACTCTCCCACATAAATTAGTCGTCTTTATTAATGGTAGTCACTCATTTCTGTTTTCTGGCTAACAGTACTTCAACTCTTAATTCTATATTGAACAGCTATCAGAAAGGTTTTTACGACACTTCCCAGTTCCATGACCTGTGATTTTAATGCTGAATTTTCCACAAGCATCCATTATAAATCCACTGAGTACTTTCAATTAGATAACTTTTCAGTAAATACACAATTTCCGAAGTGCATATGAAATTAATACCCTTACTTTTCTTGTATAGATATGCATCCCTTGCGTGAGATTAAGTTGGATAAGTTGCGGCCGTGGAAACCCTTTTCCAAAGTGGTACAATGTAGAAGCTTGGCAACACACTCACTCTTGGGAAAGAATTCCAGAGAACATAAGGCTAATTTTAAGGAATTTAGGAACCCGGTGATGGTAAAAATTGGATTTGAAGTATATGCTGAGGGTCCTACAAGAGTTTTGCGCATTTGTGAATTTTCAGATAGCCATAAAGAGGATATAGTGTTGCATTCATGTATTAAGATACAACTAAGAGTGTCGCAAGCTGCAATCCACTTTCTTGAATGTGAAAAGCAGGTCAGTCTAAGTTATTTTATGCATTGGTTACTAGAAGACTTCCATATGTTTATTTTTAAAAAACTCCATGAGAAAATGTGGAATTAATTTATGAGTGCATAGTTTTGTTTCTAGAATTAATTTTAGTACTTACTGCAGATAATGCAATTTTGATAAGTCCTTTTCAAATCACATCAAATTTTGCTGATTGATTGAAAAACTTGAGTCTGTGAAGTTGTTTCCACAAACCAAAACTTGAAGAATAGCTCAATCAAACAATGCTACATTCTATGCTTCTTGACTTTTTGAAGATGGAAATACGATTAGTCATTTCTTCTAAAACATATAGGATTACCTTTGGTATGATGGGTAAGATAAGGTAGCGGGTAGATCAAGCTTCTTACTCTATCCTATTTCATGCACGGGAGATAAAATTTTCACAGATAAGATAAAACACCACCCAACCTGGACATGCATATTTATCAACGTTAAATAAGTAATACCTGAGTGTGTGATTCATTTTTTTACCAAAATATCCTTTTTTCCCTTTATATTTTCTATCTTCTCCTTTCTCCTTCTGCCCCATGGCATATCTCCTTTCTCTGGAAATGCATAAAACTAACTAAATCTTTTGAGTTACATGCAGTCATTGGGCTACTGCTGGAAATCCATCATCATTAGGCAGAAAACACAAGAAATCATCAAAATGCTGAAGATCACCCTCATTGTTCCCTCCGTTGCCACTAGAGATCCATAAAACTAGACCTCATTCCTTTTGTTTATTTCTTTCTTTTTTGGTGAACAAACAAATGTAGATCTTATAGAAATTAACCTTATACCCAGGACACAAAACTCAAATCAGTTAACTCCCTTAAAAAATGTGTAAAATATATACATAGACAAATGATAAATGGCCAGTACTTACATAAGAAAAGGGAAGAATGAAA